ACTCTGAACCAAGCGCAGGTCAAAAATATCCACATTACGAGGTCAGTAAAGAATATAAGCAAATTGGTTATCTACGAAATTATTTATTTCGTGAATCGGAAGACAAAAACGTGCGGTAGCCATTTAAGACAAAAACGCATATAGCCTATTTTAGTGAATACTTCTGTCGAAGACACCGCTCACACGGTTACAGTAGTTAACAACATTGCACCATTAATTTTTTTTCGCTTTTTGGGGCCAATTGGAAACACTAAGTACAGCCAGGTCCTATTCTTCCTGCTCTTTCCAGCTGGTACAGCATCGAATGTTTTAAAAGCTGGAATATTCTTATCCATCCAGCCAGCGCAGCCCCTGTCTCTTGACTCGCTGTACTAAGTCAATATCACCGTATATTTCCTACAGCTCATCGTTCCATCCGCTGCGGCATTTGCCGTTCACAGCCTGCAAAGGAACATAAATTTAAGGCAAAATCTTTCTCTCGAAAACTCCTAACACTGACTCATCACATGTTGTCATCGTCCATGCTTACGCGCCATATAGGACAGGAGATATTTTGTCTTATCCTCGTTCACTACCCGACCCATTCTGGAGAAAACAGAACTCACGACGCGGTTGTTGAGGCCAATAATGTCAATATCATCGGCTTACGCCAGTAGCTGTGCACCTTTATGGAAGATTCTCTTTTGAGTTCTGCAGCTCTTATAAAATTTTTCCAGCAAGAAATTAGAAAAGTAACGCGATAAGGAATCCTCTTATCTGAGATTTCTTTTGGAATCGCGAATTCCGATCCTGACGGAAGCTTTAGTGTTGCTCAACGTCAGCTTACATAGACGTTTGGTATCTCCGTTCATACATAGTAGCGTAGAGGCAGACAAAATGATGGTGAGCGCCGATCTTCTTTTAACGGGTCTTTCTCAAGTTTGGAGCATGTTGAATATCTGGTCTAAAGCCACACTGATAAGGTTCAATCAGTTTATTCACAGTGTGCTTTTGTCAGTCATAACTTTAAAGTCGTAGATAATTTCGTCTATCTGCGAACCAGCATTAATACCAATAATAACGTCGGCCTTGAAATCCAGCGCAGAATCACATTGCCAACAGGTGCTACTTTGGACTGAATAGACAATTGAAAAGTAAGGCCTCTTCCGAGGACCGAAAACCAAACTCTACAAGTCCCTCATCTTTACCGTCCTGCTATATGTTGCGGAAGCATGTACAATGACAGCATCTGATGAGACGGTGTTAGGAGCAACTCTCAAGACAGCCGATTCTACGTACCAGAGTTGACCCGGATTTTGTCCGGACGGGGGCTGTCACCCTTTCGGCGACCTAACCCCGTTTAGGTCAACAGGTAACATAAGATTAAGTTCTTTAACCGAGCAACACCTTGCATCTGGGTTGCTCCGAATCCTTCTTATCAGGGTTGGCGTCGAAACAAACCTTGCTCCGATGGACTACTTCTGCTGCGTATGCCAAAAAAAACTCCACCACTCCTCCACCTCGATTGGGTGCAACCAGTGCAATGGGTGGAGTCATCATAAGACCTGTTCGGGCCGTAAGACCCACAGGAAGTGGACCACAAGTTATGTGGCTCCATGCTGCCAGCGCTCAAGCGCGGCCCAGCCTTCACGACAGAGCCTTCAGCACCTTTACCCACTTAGGGTAACCAATAAACCTTTACGGTCTCACGTAGCTCCTCGCAGCATGACTCCCACCTACTCACACTCCCATCCCTACCCACAACCAGCTGCTCATGCTCCTCCCGTGCGAAGGTTACCCAGCAGCTCCTAGTCCCCCGCGCTGTCTGTTTCGCGTTTCAGACCAAAGTGCGTCGGAGGTAGAGAGCTGCTTTGCGTATACCATTTTTCTCACACTCGAATAAACAATGATTCAAATTCTTTGGTACGAGTACGAGTGTGAAGTGAGATAGCCAATTGAATGCAAATTTATATGTTGGAAACATTGGAATGCCGTTGGCTTGCAACTTGTTTTCAAACGAGTAATAACGAGTATATCTTACTTGTTATACTTATTCCATACTTATACCTATGTAAAAATTCTAAAATGTAGAAATCCTTTTTTTTTACCTAATGTGCATATATTATATTTATTTTATAAAACTTTTAAGACTGTAATGAAATACTCTTTATTTTATTTGCATTAACTAAACTTTTTTGAAAATTAGTTACTTTTACAATGGAATATTTTCATAATATTTCAGAATTTAAATGTTTATTTTTTTATTAGGCATTATATGAAAATATATAATATACATACGAGTATATGGTATAAAGAATATAAAAGCCTTTTGTTTTCTTTTTCTAAGTCAAAGTATCAAAACAAAAAGTGTGTATCAAATTCCTATAACCTTTTATTCTCCTATTTTAGCATGGTTCTATATTGATTTGCAGTTGCAGAAATATTGCAAAATTTAGATAAAAATGATTTTTTCGCTATTATTATATATTGTAGTGTGTGCAATACATTTGTACAGTTTTAAATTTTTTCATAGTATCATTTTTGCTTAGATGATGGACGCCACGGTGCCCACATGTCTGCGATTATTTTTGTGTTTACTCGATTGAATACGCGAGTGTGCACTCGAGACTATATGTTATAGCAAAACACCTCAATATAATATAAACTTATTAAATCGATATCAATTCAAACTTGCTGAGTCTACATTTTCAGTACTTGTCAATATCTTTACCTTTATATTTTAATACAGGAATCATGTTACATTATATTTTTGCCAGCCATTTACTACGTTTGCATTTCCGGCACATTCCAATGTTTTAATTCTTTCCAAATAATTATTCTTTCGATTTTAAATACATAATTCTTTGGAATTATTTCATAACATATTTTTATTCACACGATCAAATATGCAAGGTAGGCATTTTAATAGCATAAGTAATAGTGATTTTGTAATTTACGATTAGTCTTTAATTTTATTCTGTATAGAACAGATCAATAAATAACGGATTGGAAAATAAAAAGATATTTTTTTTTTATTTTTTTTCCTTAAAATTCCATAATAAAAATACTATACTCGAATGTTATTTTTCTTTTCGATCACATCAAATCAGGCTCAGCCACAGCGAAAAGTAATAAACATACATATACATGTATATATAATATACCAAATTTCATGTTATCTGCTCAAACTCGAAGGTAGCATATTGAGTCTCGTTGCTTGTGCGCCACTCGATCCAACACAAAGTTATTGAGTGTTGTGGTTGAGTTGTACAAAATTTTCGCTAGAGTGATTGAACAGGATCGAGCACACCCGCTGCAGCTCTCTGGTCGCAACATGACCTCAGTCAGATGCAATTCTTGTTCTGCCTGGTGTCATATTCGGACGTGCCAACCAACTGCCAACCAACACCAACGTGCGGAATCAATCTCAGCGGGCATTACAACAGCAACACACTCCACCCACGCATCACTTTTCGAAAAAATACGAAGGCTTACGGAAGGTCTCAAGACGGGAGCAGGCTTTTGTAAGACCTAGAGGGGTTATCTAGTGATGGATGATCAGAGTTTGCCGAACTCATGGAGGGAACACCTCTCCAGACAGCTATGGCCGAAGTTGGATGCAAAAAAATCTTTACATTTTATCCTTCTAGACCGGCTCTCCATTAGCACAGCGTCGGGTATAATAACTAGGTACAATGTAATGGGGGTTCGCGAGTTCAGGGTGGGCTTTTACTCTAAAGATTTGTACCACGACTGTCGGGACGAAGAAGAGGAGGAGACCATCGAGCACCACCTCTGCCACTGTCCAGCCTTGACATCCACGTGACACAAGTTTCTGGGGAAACACTTCTCCGACTTTCTCGCTGAGTTGGTCTCAGTGAATATTGGAAATCTCGTTGCCTTTGTAAGGCACACGAAATGGTTCGATCAATTGAGAAGGTGAATGCAGGAGTCTAAGTGTGCTGGGGTTGAACAGCAGCCGCATCAACACAACTAAACTCAAGACTATTACGGCTATGTAAACTGACCATAAGCAACACAGCTTCGATACCAAACTAGGTCTCAGACAGGGTGACTGTCTATCGTGTTATTTTTTGAATTTGATGCTGGAGAAAATAATACGAGCTGCAGAGTTGAATAAAGAAGGGACAATCTTTCTGTATACCGGATAAGAAAGCGAAGGATATGGGTCTGGAAGTGAACAAGGACAAGACGAAATATCTCCTGTCATCAAACAAACAGTCTTCGCGCTTGCGACTCGGCTTTCCGTCACTGTTGGCAGTAATAACTTTGAAGTTGTAGATAACTTCGTCAATCTTGGAACCAGTTTTTACACCAACAAAAACGTCAGCGTGGAAAATCAACACAGAATCACTCTTGTCAACAGGCGCTGCTTCGGACTTGGTAGGCAATTGAAAAGTAAATTTCTCAGCCGATAAAATGATGAGATGGTTTCATACAGCGACATTGACACAGTTCAACGAATCAAGAAAGGAATAAATGGCTAGAATAAACTATAAGTGTCTCCATTTAAGGAAAAAATACCAAGATACATAAAACAAATTGTGGAGCTCATCCGAAAACTGTCTTAGCAGTCACAAAGCGCCAATTATTTATATATATATACATATATATATATATATAAATTAAATGTAAGTAGTATGCATTTATGATGGAATGGAAATATGCTGGAAAAAGAAAGTTGAAGTACTAATAAGGGCTCTCCAATAAAAGGTGATATTTTTAATAGCCTGCTATTTCGGTAGATGTCAATTTTGAAGCTATATTTTTTGGCGTTTGACAAATAAAAGCTACACCAGTAATAAAAATGGTACGATACACGCTTCAACAATTAATTGAAATTATTAAAATTCATTTCTGGTACTTACGTATCTCGGACCAAAGTTAATTTATAATATTTATGAAAAGTATACAAATTTCATAGACAATCATTGTTTGAGGATATATGTTAAAATGATAAAAAAAAATACATACGTATATAGCATTTATTTGATCAATACCTCGGCTGTGGTGTCTGCTGTCTTTTTTGCGTTGTCGATTGGAGCGGATTGTGGATTTTTACGCAATCCCCGACGTTTTCTTTTAATAACTGCTAAGGATTTTGCCGATTGCTCTTGTCGTAAGGTTGTTTTGACTTTAGATTTATCTACAGCTAATATTGGCTCTGTATCTAGCTTTGGTATAAATGGCACGGACACCAATGATGTTTCCTGATGCAGCTGATGCGATGATGCTAACGCTGCTGCATTAAATGTATTAATTGGATTTTGAACGGTATTTAGAGCTGTTTGTTGGTTAATTTTTAAAAGTGTTAAATTTGAAACCCCAATTTTTATTGCCACATTGGAAGATGTTTTTGTTGTTATACTCGATTTCGTTTTAATTTTATGTAGAGTAGTGTTTACTGGTATTTTCTTGTTTGTTATTTTTGACTTCTTTTCTATTGGGCGAGGTGATAATTGTGACATATTATGGGCACATTGGTTATAATTAGATCTTTGCTAAAACGCTGATGATTTTTTTTGTGAATATGTTTATGGTTGCATAGTCAAAGGCATAATTAGCAAATAACAGTGATAGGTGAAACTTTAATCCCACTATACGTGTGTGAAACACTTAATTTCGTAATAATTTTGTGATTCCTGAAAGAAAGAAAATATGTAGATACGGAAGTTTGTAGTAGAAAAATTTACATCTATTAAAAATGCTAGAACTATAGAAATTTTAATTTCTACAAAACTCTACAATTGAGCTTTCTAAAATGAAAAGTGAAAGATGAGCACCTAAAAGAGATTATTTAATATTGATATTTGGCAATGTATGATATTTGGGCGGCAAAAGAAGATATTTTAACGATGGGTTTGAAAATTCTTGTAACCGACGGAAAATCGCTAAACACGCAATAAACTTCTAACCTTTAAAACATCTCAGAAACAAACTAGACATGCTATTTGTTTAGATGAAACCAAGAACATACGAAGGGATTAACAAAAGTTCGGTAAGATGACCGAAAAAAATAAAACAAAATAAAAAAAATATTTTTGTATTTATTCGTAATCTTTGTTCTTCTTGTATCTTCTTTACATAATCGCCATTGATTTCATTACATTTCATAAGCCCGTAGATTCACTTCTGAAAGCAGTCTTCAAAATCTTGCTCTTTAAGCTTATCATGTTCAGCATTAGCCGCATTATCTCCTCGTTGCTATTAAACGCCTTTCCCTTTATTTTTTTTGAATTTTTGGAAATAACCCGAAATCAGATGGCGCGATATCCAGGGAATTCGGTGCTGGAAGTATTTCTTCGATCCCAGAGATCGCAACAAAATTACTCGTTATTTCAGCAGTGTGGGATGGTGCCCATGTGTGAAAAGAAGCTCCGCAAATCCCTTTTCTTCCTGTTTTCCAACAAATTTTTTAAAGCTTTTGGTAAGCACTCTTTAGTGTACCATTTTGCAGTTACCATCTGACCTTTTTCCACTGGAATAGTAGGAAAGATTTTAAATAGGGTGACATCGTTACTTTTTTTGTGGCTGCTTTGTGGTACTTATCGAACAGATTTCTTCTCGTATCTCAGATGATTACTTAATATTTGTCATGCAAAAATGGCACAAGCCCAGTTCGTTGGCAAATCTTTTTTGTGTCAACCGAGGGTCTTCGTTAATTTTTGGACTTCACTAAAGCTACAGTGACGTCATCAGTGGAAGATTTTGATCGAAATTCTCGGTGCATCTAAAATGATTTTATTCGTGAAAATCCTTTTTTTTTTATGAAACTAGAACCTTGACATTACATGTGAAATACATATCATTCAAAAGGCGATTTTATGTAATTTTCCATCCATACAACAATGGCTACGTCATGTGCTACGGGCAGATAAGATATCCGAGCTTTGAAATTATTTGATGAGGAACTCGCCGGTTAAAGTCTGATCCGCTTCAATTGGGTGATAGCATTAATGAGGAGTATTTTATTTCATATCAGAAGTGCATTCGGAGAGCTAACATTACATTCCAAGGGTCGACAATGAATCGATAATCTAATTTTCTATATTTTTGGACGTTGGACAAGGTCTTGAACCCTAGCCTTCCAAATGCCAGTACGCACTACTAATCACTCCCATATTGGCATAGTTTAGTTGATACAGCAGCTACGCTCACTAGAACATGCTGTTCAGATAGATGACAACATTGTATGGACCGCTGTTCCGGGATGGCCTTTTGAATCGGAAAAAAAAATTAATAGAACACTCGGAAGACTTTGAAAAAGGCGAACGATTAATTCATTGCATTAAATGCATGGTTCAAATATTTTTCATAATAAAAAGGTAAAATATTTGATGTGAAGTGTGGATTATTTGGCCAATTGTGAAACTGATTGCATAAGAGAACATTTTTCATGAAATTATGCGGAGAGCTTAACTTAACTTTAAAGGCACCTTGCTGCAGTTAACGTTACAATTCAAAAGATAACTGTGTGTAACTTGACACGTGTTTTTTCCTTTGTCATCCATTATAATTTTCTGGGAAAAAAAGTGATACTTTTCTCATTGCAATTGATGCATTTATTATGTGTATTTTTGATTATTTGGCTAAAATGCCATACCATATTTATCAATTCAATCATTTTTTTCCAAAACAAAGTCCAGAAGTTTTTCTATTTTATGTTGTTATTTCGCTTATCGGTTTTTTGCTCCAAAAATTAAATCGTTTTCTATTAATTACGGTTCCACGTAAATAAACAACATTATAATTTTTAATTATGAAATTGATGTACATATTATCGTCTAGTAATTTACATGAAAAATTTAGCGCGACTCGAAGTCCGTCAGGTCTGCTAATACTTTTTATAAAATTAGATCAGTCTATCAAAATAAGAGTGGAAATGAAAAGTCACCGGTAACCCTACACGTCCATATACTACCATATACTTAAATACAAACACACATTTTATTTGCATGAAGGAACCACGCACGTACTCATAACATATACTCTAACGTATGCACATACATATGTATATTTAAATTTAATAGACCCTAGTAGGTAATTACTTTACAATTGTTTGTAAATATGCTTTACGAACAACAAAACTACTATTTTTAATGACGATGTAACCACAATGGGTAACTGCCTAACAGGCTATGTAATTGCAATGCGCTACCTATGGTTCAAAATGACAACTCTAATACCTACGTATGAAGTATGTTTTTCAGTATAGTCTCCCTTAAAGGAAAAACATTTTTCACATCGTGAATATTATATTCATATACCACTGAAAAAAAAATTTTTAGATTGCTCTTCAAAACGGTTTTCTACGGCCGCTTTCATATCACTGTCGTCTAAAAGTCTTCATTATGTTCGACGCTTTCCACTTTCACAATTATTTTCGTGGCCTTTCCCCATTTTTATTAACTGCATCGACTCCTCTTTGGCCTGCACTGCGACAGTGCGGTTGCAAATTTCATCGAAATCATCTCGGAATAACTCCAAAAAATTTTTACAACTCTCCAATCGTCGCTGCTTTTCGAACGGCATGAGCACTCCCGGTATCATCATGCATAATCTCTACAGGCCGTTCTTTGCTTATTTGTAATCCTGCTATCTGGGCCACCTATACAGGTTTCTCTTCATTGTTGAAACCGCCAAGCCTATTTTTTCACCATCGTATCTGAAGTGCAGATTACTGAAGAGCCAATGATATCTCTTTACTTCCTTTTTTTTACAAGGAATTCAAAGTTGTAATATTTATTTGTAATAAATACTAATAATGGGTCAAGCAATCAGCATTATCAGTACCGATATTGTGCGTCATCTCTAACTAGATTAGGTCGCGAAAAAGTCAGCTGCCCTTCGTAGTATCTACTTTAATGCATAAAATAAAAGTTTTGTTAATGCTTTTATGCTTGCATGAAGATGAGCTCCAGTGAGAAAATTAATTATTTAAAAACTTAAAACAAAATCCTAATATAAGAATTTAATCGCGTCAAATTTAACTAAAGTGCAAGTCATGAATGAAATTTGATTCGGGACTTTGGGTATAAAGTTAGTAGTTAGTGGTGTAGCGAAGTATGTTAACCGCCATAATGCGAAGAAAATTTCTAGAATGATGATGAAGACTATTAAACCTACATAATTATTGCAGACGTATATTTCACGCATAGTTTCTATTATTATTTTTTTAGTATTATTAATTATTCATGTATGAACAAACCGTTACAACATAAAGACATATTCTGTCAACAACGATTCAAAGGTCAGAAATATTTAACAGAAGAAGAAGAAATATTTATTCGTATAAGATTTGTCTGCTTATTTCTCTCAAACAGAGTGGGAGTTTAGATTTTGGACACAATTGTTTCGGCATGGATTTTCAAAAATTATGAACATTTTAGTGGAAAACTCGGAAACTTCTGAAGAACGCGAAGGATTCATTTTCTTAGGAAATTATGGATTGTATGGTTTGAGGGGTTTGGACGGTATAAATTCTACTTTTATAGTGTCCAAACCCCCATTAGCATGATATTGTGTTGAAAGTGGGGATGTTTTAGGATAATAGTAAAATTATTTGTTATAAAAGACGTTTTGCGTGAATTTGGGTGCCACGTAGTAAACATGATACGCGGTATGATCAGAAAATATACGTTATTTTCAAATTTCGTGAGTTACGTATGTTCAATTTCCACTTTTTTTCTGTGATGATGGTACACTTGTCTGTTATATACGTTGGCAATATCACCCATTTTGAACTGTTAGTTTGTTTTTGACAGATAAAGAAGATTAGTCGTATTTCGGTATGCTCTCCGAAAAAATGGATCAAAGAAACTGTATTAAGTTTTGTGTAAAAAATTAATTTTAATGCGAAAAGACATTTGGAATGTTGACTGATACGTTTAGCGAGTTTACTATGAGTAGAACACAAGTTCAATTGTGGTAAAACCGGTTTAAGGAGGGCCGAGAAGATGTCAATGCGCGTCCTGGTCGCTCGTTCGGTTACATGTGAAGGTTTTGCTTACTGATTTCAGTGACTGAAATGGCGTGGTGAATGACGAATTCTTGCCACACGGTCATACGGTCAATAAGGAATACTAACTAGAAGTTATGCGCCGTTTTCGCAAGGCAATTCGCCAGAAGTTCACAGCATTCAGAAAACCGTTATCATGCCGCAACCACCGTATTCACCGGACTTGGCCTTACGTACTTGACTTGAACTTACGTATGTATGTATAAAATATTCATTACAATTTTTTTTACTTTGCCGAATCGTAATGAGAGCCATGGGTTGGAGACCTAGTCCAACCAACATCTGAAACGCATTTACTTTTCAAAGAAAATCGCATCTCGATCGTTAATGTCAATCCACTAGGCGCAGTATTCCTGGCACAAAAATTAAAGCATCTCCAAACAATTTAACAGCCGTTCGGTTAAAGCTTAAGAGAAAGTGTGTCTTATATTAAACGAGAGACATTAATACTTCAGATTTCTTTTTTGGCAAAAAATTCCTACAGGGTAGGCAAGTAATGAATACATATACTTACGAAATTCAAGTTCAGTGCATGCAGAGAGAGAGACAAATCAAATACCAAGGTAATTGGAACTACTTATATGATAATTTAGCGAAACAACTTGTTTGTTATAGACGGTTAAG